AGCGGGAGCCGGGCAGCGGGAGCGGCGCGGAGCCTCTCGCTGCTGCTGCTGCTGCCGCTGCCGCTGCCCCCGCCCCCGCCGCGCTTGATGCTTGCTGTGCGGCGTGGTGCTTGAGCCTTCAGTAACAAAAGCGGTGGCTGAAGGGGAAAGGAGGCTCGCGGGCGGGCGCGCAGCGTCCCGGAGCCGCCTTTCCAAGCCGCATTGCCGTCTAGCGGCACTCGCAGTGCAAATCCCTGGAGTGGGAGCTTGGTCTGTGAGGGTACAGGCTGCATCTGACCTGACAGGAGCTGCTCTGTGCCAGCGTAAATCTGTGTCTGTGCCTGCTGCACAACGACTGCAGCAGCCTGAGGTGGGCTCTGCCGCTGCCAAAGGAAAGGAGTGGCAAAAGAGACTGAAAGAACCCGTGGTTACTCTGGCAGCTGGGTGTAAACTGCAAAATCTGCAGGTTTCCCCTGAGAAAAAAACATGCTTTTCAACCCCACGCAAACGTACGCTTCAGTTTACTTTCAAACTGAGTAAGAAGGGAGAAAGCAGAGAAGGAAAGGATTGTGGTTTCTGTGTGCGTTTGGTCTAGAAGCTTCTAGCTGCTCTCGATTTGCAATTTAACATGGATGAGTTATTTGATTGCAGATTACATCTGTAGGAGGTACAAAGCTGGTTCTGTGCATAGACTCTAGACCTTGATAAACTGAGGAACACAGAGAGAGGCATCTAAGTTGGTTCTGGTCCAGCAGGTCTAGCAGGTCTTGTTGGGGGAGGCACAGCAAAAACACAGGAGATAATTCTTCATCTAATGAGTCTGTAGAGTGCTAAATTTGCCATCTCCAGTCAGCATTAGTGCACAAGTTCTCCTACGCTCTCAATTCATCTGACATCTTTTTTTTTCATTTAAATTTTCTAATAATAAACCAACTATATGTTGGTTTAAAATAAATCTTTGCAGGTCATTGTGTCTTATGTTTGGCAATGAAGTTTCTGTTTAGGACTGGTACTTTATCAGCCGTGTGTTTTCTACTTCATAATCCCGCATTTAAAAATTGCAGAATATGTAATTGGTGCCAAATTTTCTACAACTGCCAAACATGCCTGAACCAAGTTTATAAAGTGATAACTAGTAGAAAGGAAAGGAGATCTTTTAGTGGAGATCATTTACAGATGTTACACAGCTCATATTTCCAGTCATCCCCTAGTTTTCAGCGTAGCAGTGCAAGCCCTTACATAAGCAATTTAAACCGAGCACTGTGCGTTACGTTCCTTAGTAACTTTTCAAAGACTGTTTAGATACTGTGTGAGGGCCTCCCTGAAGGGCTGTGTGTACAGGGCTTTATGGAAAAGGGGCAGAGGAGCAAAATGACAGTGAGTGTCTGGGGTGATGTCAATGCCATAATGCTTTCAGTAGGGTATGGATGGAGGGAAGGCAGGTCCAGACAGTCTCTTTCTTAAGCCTCTTCTAAGGCCTGCTGATAATACCACAGCATTGTAAAGGTGCCTCATGCCAGGCCTGTTCTCAGAAGAAATGTTACAGACACAAAGGAAAGATTTTGGAACTTGATGGGTAGGCTTAGGTGAAGAGAAGATGAAAATTTTGGCAATAGCTTTCAGGCAGAGCGATAGACAAGTGAGGTGATTGCCTAAGGCAGAAGAGAGCATTCTGAGCAGTAAAATGTCCTGAAAAAACAACAAATTCCAGCAAGAGTCTGAAACAGCCTCCCAGGACGTGAAGCCAACCTAAAGCTGGTCAGCAACATGCTAGATTTAGGAATAGGTTTATGTAAGGACTTGCTAAGGATCACAAGGCTTGGACTTAAAACATAAAAGGGCATAGGCCAACACAGTTCAAATATAGCATTATCAACAGGCCCTCCACAGGCAAGGGTGGGACTCGAGGTGGCTGAAAGCCCATCAGGAAGGTAGGACCTTTGGGGTGCTGTCCAAGGGTTGGCTTCCCAGGTATGCCATGGCTGGAGTCACTGCACTGTGTGGGTTGACCAAAGCCCCACCATGACACGGTGTGGCCTGGAAGTTCACTTGCCAGCTGTGTTGATCATGCTGGCAGCGCAGACTCCCAGGAACTGGGGAAAGGAGTGAGGAATGCATGTCTGTACAAGCTCAAAGATGACATTTCGAGATAACAGCAAACAGAGTAACCAAAAAAGGAATGACCCTGACTATTCATTTGTGATTGGAACAGGAACTGAAACCATGCTCATCAAGAGCACTGGGTTCATGCTTAATTGGCTTGAAAGGACTGAGCATGGGGTGTAAGAAAGGAATAAAGGCAGAAGCCACAGCACTCTGTGTTGACTGGCACTGGCCACCAGCTGGCAGGTGGACAGACAGCCAGACATCAGCAGGGTCACCCTGATGCCAGGTGCCAGGGAACACAAAATCCAACTTAGTGTGGCTTGAGTCTGGTGAAGACCTTCCTGGGAAAACTAATACAAAAATATACATCATACACCAAGGAAACTCCAGATGCTCCTCTGTGGTGTATCACACTTATACTGAGCTGGAAAAGAACGTGTCTTAATAGATCAGGGACAGCTTTAATTATTTCTGCTTGCTTCATTACAAAAAATAATGGCGATAAGGAGGATGCAATTCTCAGTTTATGGAATTGCACTTATTTTTGTTGCAATAAGCAGTGCTACCATTGAGGTCCACAGTAGGGCACAAAGCTTCATCAGTCTGACCCTACACTCATATTTTATGTGACATGTTAGTGATAGATTATTAAGTTGCCCATCACCTGAGTTTTGCCCTGACTGTTCTTCAGTCTCAGCATCACTGAGCTGTCCTGGTATCCCTGCTTTCCCTTGCTCCCCAACAGGATATATCAAATCAAGTTCCGTGCTGTCCTTTTAGTCTGGGAGGGAGGAAGTTGTTGTTTTTCCATATTTATGACCACATCACTGTGGACTACAGTACATTGGCATGGCCCATACACCAAGACCATCAGAGCTCTTTTCTGCTCCTTTTCAAATGAAGGCAGTGGTGCTCGCTCATCCCCTGCTTTAAAACCGAGCAGCATTTACAGGGGAGTGATCTGAGCTGTTACACAGCAGGCCTGCAAATGAGGCTCAACCATTCCAGCTCCAGACTGGAAAAGGGCCCTGTGTCTCCATTTCCTGGGAATTTCTGTGCTGCTCAGCTCCCTGTTCACCAACAGATGTCAATGCTTTCCTAAAATTACAAGCTGTAGGACTTAAAATTAGGCGAGGTCTCATTTTTTAAAAATGGTTCTCTAATAAAGTTATGATTTCTTCTGTGCTTCTGTACATTGATTCCTATTATTTGGTGATTTCATTTATGTGTCCTTCTTAGATCCCAGGTATACATTTTCAAAAAGACTAAACAACACTTGTTTGTATAGACATCTCTTCTGATTCAGTGTATCCCTGTCTTTACCAACTATAGCTCATTAGTTAACTTTCAACTCAAAGAAATTTAGTAAAATATATTTTAATTGAGATGTTATTTATTTTTTCAAATGCAAAATTAATTAAAAAATACCTGATCATGTTTCATCAATTGGTTTAATTTTGTTCTTTCCTTGCCTTGAAAGTAATTAAGATTAGTGGACAAATGTATGTTTAAACATTCAGATTTTCTATTTTTTTGCATCCCATTGACCAGTGAGTGTACCCTAATGTGTGCATGGTAACACCACCAGAAAGGATGGGCAATTCACATTGTTTTTTCCTTAAACCACTGCAACGTTTTACTAGGCTTGGTAATTGCAATGTTTTATAATTATTCACTATTGGCATTATCACTATTGCTGTGAAATGCCACATGAAAATAGTGCCAGTAACAGTAATTACACATGGTAATTGCCTGATTGATTCTGTTGCACTTTTACTAAAAAACTTTTTTTTTTTTTAAGGCTCTATCAACTTCAGTCTGTTTCCTAATAACTCTTAGGACTGTCATTGTTAAAAAATAATAAATACTTGCTGTAGCTTCCTTTGGTAATTGCTATCTTGATCTAATTTTAGAGTTCTCATTAATTTGCAACCTAATCTACTTTTTCTTTGGCTCTCTTTCCCTTAGGTGTATTTAACTTCTTTCCCTTAGGTGTATTTAACTGCATTTTTTTTTTTACTTTTATTATGCAATTCTGGAAAGATTTTCTTAATGTATTTTTTCCCTAATTTTTTGTTTCCCATGCAAGCTTTCCTGCTTGGCTTCTTCTCACTTCTCCATCCCTTTTCCCTGGATGTGCCAGAGGAAGGTCAGGTTAAATGTTAGGACTATTACAGTGTCTCGCCACTGTTACCATAAAAGATTTCTTCTTTTTAGCCAAATCTACAAAATCCAAATCTACCCTCTTTCAGTTTAAAATCTTGTTGCTGATGAACATAGATTGCAAATCTGAAAGAAAGGAAAGACTGGGAAACCCATGGACCCACCCTAATGTGGAAGAACAGCCAAATCACAAGAAATGGTGTGTCTTACTCACTTAGGCTGCCTGTGTTCTTAACAGGTGAGACATCTCAGTGCCTGCCTTGCCTCTTTTGTCCTATACCTCATAGATACTGCACAATCCCATGATTTTTACTCATGGAGGTCCTCCTGTGTTTTGTAGGGACCTTAAAGACTCAACCGAAAGTGACTGACCACTTAACAAAGAAAATCTATTCCCATATTCACCCTCAGAGATTGCCTGGGTCCTCTGTCTCAAAGATACTCTTCCTGAGTGGACCAAAGGGTATTCTTTCCTTAGAATCATAACTCTTTTGCCTGTGTGTGATGGCTTTTGGACAGTAGATGATGGAATCTTTAAGTCTGCATTTAATGAAACCAAATTACCTTCCCATCACATTTTTGTCCCTTTTCCAGAGACAGAAGAAAGACTAGGATAGATTTAGTTATTTGGCAGGGTTTATAAATGTCTGCTCCAATATCTACTCTCACAGTATTCTCAGCTCTGCAGGGAGTAGGAACTCCCTGGAGGTGAGAGGTAGAAGGGGCAGGAAGGAAGATACAGAATTCTTTGTCTTGTCTTCTCAAGACAAGAATCTTTGTCTTGAGATGCTGTCATGGAGAATTTTTACTTCCACGTTAGGAGGGAAGGCAGCTAGGAGCCAAGATCTTCCTCTCCCTTCTACTGGTTATTTCCTCCTAATTGATGTGAGAAACAGCCAGCTCAGTCTTCTGCAGCTTCCTTCAATTCTTGTTAGACATGTATGTTCTCTGTTCCTGCTGAGTTTTCTCCCTTCTCTCTCTAGAAAGAGATCATCTGTAGTTGTGTCTGCTCGGGATCTAATGTTTGCACTTTTTCTCTCCACTTTGAAATGCTTAATACAATTGAAATGGAAAAAAATATTATTACATGGGAATTGGGAATTCTCTTACATAGTCACAACTGCTTTCAGTCAAGAGAGTTAAAATTCTTTCCAAAACAGCCACATCTTGTTCTGGATAAATGCCAGGGAGCAGGAATGTTCCTAGGTTGAGTGTAGGATGTTAGTTTTCAGGTCCAGTGATAAGAAGAAAAGTGGGAGTAAGAAGTTTGCTGATCTGAAATCAAACCTAGTCCTATGTTTGTCCCCATGTAGAATAACTGAGGGACAATCCCAAATACAAGCACAAATACAGGCTGAGTGGCAAATTAATTTAGAGCAGCCCTGCCAAGGAGAACTTGAGGGTGTTGGTTTGACCAGAAGTTCGACATGACCTGGCAATGTACATTCACAGCCTAGAAAACCAACCTTGCCCTGAGCTGCATCCAAAGCAGCATGAACAGCAGGGCAAGAGAGGGGATTCTACCCCTCTGCTCTTGTGAGACCCTACCTGGGGTGATGGATCCAGCTCTGGGGTTCCTAGTGCAAGGAAAACACAGACCTCTTAGAGCAAGTCAAGAGGAGACCACCAAGATGCTCAGAGGGCTGGAGCACCTCTCCTATGGAGACAGGCTGAGAGAGCTGGGGTTGTTCAGCTTGGAGACAGCTCCAGGGCCACCTTGGAGCCCCTTCCAGTACCTAGAGGGGGCTACAGGAGAGCTGGAGAGGGACTTCTTGTGAGGGCATGTAGTGACAGGACAAGGGAGAATGGCTTGAAAGAGGGCAGGTTTAGATTAGATGTTAGGAAGTAATTGTCTACTGAGGATGGTAAGACACTGGCAGAGGTTGGCCAGAGAAGCTGTGGATGTGCCATCCCTGGAAGAGTTCAAGGCCAGGTTGAATGGAGCTTTGAGGGCCTGGTCTAGTGGAAGGAGTCCCTGTCAGTGGCAAAAGGTTTGAAACTATGTGTCCTTTAAAGTCCCTTCCAACCCAAACCATTCAGTAGTTCTGTGATTCTATCATTTAATATGAGTTGCTGAAACTATCTACCTGCTTTTCCTCTCCCCTGCACCATGGTTAGTGTGTCGGTATAGGTACATTAATATCAAATCCACAGAAACCATCAAAAAAACCTTCAGTATCTTCCAAGACAGTGTTACTACTTTGGTGCATGATTTTAGTAAAACACTCTAAAACACTAGATCTTGTATTTGCCTTTACATGTAGGGCTTCTTCAAACCCAAGGACACAAAGCTGGGATTCAGGCTAAGCCAGCAATCAAGCACTAGGTTACTGGTCAGCATAGGTTTTAACCTATGTTAATCAGCAGCTTTGACTCATGAATCATACACAAAACAATAGTGGAGTGCCATGACAGTTTTGGTGGAAAACACAGCTTCCAGGCATGACCAGAGAGGATAAGCAATACTGTCATTGTAGATCATCTAGTCTTTTCCTGGACTTGCCATTTTCCTGTGTTTGGATGACAAGGGTTTGCTTTCAGGGTAGCCAGATATGAAGTGCTTGTGAAGCCTGGTGTTGGTGTGGAATGCTGCCAAGGGAAGGTCCACACCCCTTCAGAACAGCTCCTTCCCTTGCTGTAGGTGTTGTGCTCAAAGTAAATCTTCTGAATCCTGAATTACATAAACTGGGTGGGACTGGGTCATACTCTCATACCTCAAAGCCTTCCTGTTTGCACAGCCACAGCTGCCCCAGCTCAGCAGAAGACAGCTTTGGGGAAAGGATGAGCCAAGCTTTCAAACCGAGGGAGCCTTAACAGAGACAGAGCACGTGTCACTCACAGACCTCAAAGGGCTTGGCAGTCAAGGTCGGTACACTCTCTTTACTTCATGGGTGGGAAAACAGACAAAACAAGGCTATGGGAAAGGGAAATTATTTGATTGAGATTGTGATTGTAAAACAGTTTGGATCAGGGAAGTAAGGCATGAATCTCCTGTGCCCAGACATGCTCTCCTGGGTACCGTGTGCTTCAAATTGACAGCTATTGCAGGGAAGCTGATTGTCTCCATCATTTTTGCTGACTCTCCTCACAGCACCTCCTAATACTAAGCACAGGCATATAGTGCCTAAATGGAGGTAGAAAAGTGCAACTTTGGAATACCATGTTGCAGCAACAGCATGTAGCTCTGTACATATCCAATTAGGAGCTAAAATGTGGACCACATGTTTGAATTATATTGTGCTTTGTGTTGATACAGTCTTTTCATTTTCTGGCTGTTGGTGTGTAAACCATACAAGTTCCTAGTAGACTTCCTGGAACCTTTGGCACTCTCCCTCTTCAAATAAATTGTTAATGGGAAAGTGAATACCTTTATTTCCCTGTTTTCCTCCATGGTGTATAGGAGAATTTATTGAAACAGTCACTTTGTCTCCATAATCATGGTATACTTGTCACTTCTATTTAAATAGTGTGATAACAAAGCTAAACAAGGAAACAAACAACCAAAACAACAAACCAACCAAATCCCAAAAAAAGCTGTATCCACAAATCCGAGTCCTCTTTGTTTGGAGTTCCTGCTAGACAACAACAAAAAAAACTGCTCTTTGAGGTTGTTACAGCTGTTCCTTATTGCTGAACTATCCTGTCTGGATGTTGTTCTCTCCACCACACAGGAGTGTCCTGGAGATGAAACCCTGCGCCACTTACGAGCTGTTAGTGGATGGTGTTGGGACATGGGACTTCACTGGAGGTTTTGTTCCCTGTGAGCTGCTCCTTGTTGGAGAGGATGCCTACCCTGTGCTCCTGAGCGCTAAGAAGCAGGTCCTGATTGCTGTTTCACAGTATGGGAAGGGCCGGATGGTGGTTGTTTCCCATGAAGGAATCCTGAAGGGCCCCAAGTTCTCCCAGTTCCTCAGAAATGCCGTAGAGTGGCTCAAGCCTTGCCCAGAGGCCCTGGTTGGGGTTCATCCTCGTCTGGATTCCCTGTCCCAGGTGCTGCTTGGGGCTGGCACCCGAGTGCAGGTGGGGGCAGAGCCCAGCCCATCCATGGGGGTGTTCTGTATGGATGCCTATGACAGCTCCCAGGCCAAAGGCGTCGTTGACTTTGTCAAAGGGGGTGGAGGGCTTCTTGTTGGAGGCCAAGCCTGGTATTGGGCAAGTCGACACGGCAAGGAGAAGGTGCTGTTTGAATTCCCTGGGAACCAGGTGACCAGTGTGGCTGGCGTGTACTTCACAGGAAACACAGTGGAAAAAGGCATCTTCAAAGTCGCCAAGAAGATTCCCAAGATCCCTTTAGTTGTCCCGTGAGTACCTGAATTACCCTCTCTTTAAACCACCGATCAGGTTATGTGGGTGAGTTGTTTATAGAAGATTTGGGAGGTGAGAGGTGAGGGTGATGGGGATGGTTCTTTAATAACCAAGATGGAATTGTTCCATTCCAATTTGAACGGGACCGTTCCCATTTTTTGCAATTCGATAGAATGCTGTCTTCAACTGCTTCCAGCGCAGCAGGACCAGGCCCAGGGAATCCATTCTAAGAGAAGGAAATGAGAGGAGCCATATTTTAGAGCAGCGTGCCTGATCAACTGTACCTGAGTGAAATGCAGCAAAACAGGAACTCCTCTCCCTCTCCCCACACATCTCTACATTGAGGGCAACTTTCCCACAGCTGAAAACCTGGTTGGAGATGAAGCAGCTCTCTGGGCCGGGCTCTGGCTGACAGCTGCTAAACCTGTTTAGCCTGTTCCTTGCAGGAATTTGTTTCTGCGGGTAAACCCCTGGAGCTGGCCAGAGCTGAGGCTGGGTGCCTCCTCCCTTCTCAGCTTCTGACACAGGCTGTGGGCAAGAAATCTCAGTGCTCCCCATTTGTTTGGGATTCCAGCCTGGCTCTTTGTGTTCTGGGTTATCAGGTGTAAAACTCAGGGCTGTTATGACTCATATTGCACAACTGACCAGGCATTGGAGTCATGGATATTGCCCTGCTGTCTTCCTCCCCTTGCCAGTGGCTATACCAGGCTCTTTCTCCTGCCACTTTCTGCTAAGTTACATAAGGCACAGCAGGTTCTCCAAGGAGCATTAGTGCTGCTGCACTTCCTCTGTGTGGCAGCTTCATTTCTCTGTAGTGACAGCCACAGCAATTATAGTAAAATTCCCTGCAAGGCTTTCCTTCACAGCTTTTTCCTTGTGGATATAGAATACTAAAGGTCTAATATTTTCAAACAATTAATGAATTTGATACTTTTTGTTTGTTTTCCAGTAAAGGTAGTAGAGACCTCTGCTGTTCAATTCAGTGAAATGCTTAGGGCACAGCTAACAAATCAGGTTGCCTAATTAAAATTTGATGGTTGCTTCTTGTTACTGTCTGCACTGCACAGGCATGTTCCCACTGCTCCATGCAGAGGGCATAGAAGAGGGGATGGGGTGGGGAATTCAGAAGAGAAAAATCACATCACAATTAACAAGACTTCAAATGGTAACTCAGGGTGGATTACACCTTATTTAGGTTGTTTTTCTGGAGATTTTGTTTGAATCCAGAGCCGCAAAGAAATTTAGATCTCAAATTTCTGTGTAACACAATTCTACATCTGGATCTTCCTGCCAGATTTGTGTGCAGAGAATCAGGCTTCAGTCTGAGACAGGGACAGTGCCATATGCCTGGGCACATGCTCTGTGTGACAAAGGGTCTCAGTAAAGTAATAACCAAAGAAGAGCTGCAGATCTAATTCCTGTCCTACACGGGTGAAGAAGGGCAGCATCATTTTTTCTCACTGAGTTGGCAGCAATGGCCATTTAACAACAGATCCTTCACAGGTGTTGGGGGAAAACTATTTGGCAGAACGAGAGGAAAGTATACACAAAGCAAATGAGAGTAATTCAGCATGTCTTTCTCCACAGTGACATATAGGAGTTACATGAAAATAGCAGAGATAAGAGAGCCTTGCACAGCCTAATCTCTCTTTATTGTGGAGACCAACAATGTGAGGTAACGTGAGGTGTATGTGTTAAGGCTCTAATTCAACTTCCAGTCACTCACTATTTGTCTAGCTGTTTGTCTGCCTGTCCGTGTAGCCCCCTCTGTCCTAGCACTCCTTTCTTCAGTTCTCAACAGTGGCAGAGCTTAGGGAAAGGCACAGGAATGTTTTGGGCTTGCCTAGTTTGTAAAGGCTAGGGTGCAGCAAATAGAGAAAGTTTCTCTTAAAGGAGATATGCCAATTCCCACATTATGTGCAGTTTAAATCTACAGTTTAAGAAACTATGAAGGGTCTGATTTTTGAGTTTCTGCAATGTATTTAGGTTTTCAAGTCTCTCTTCAAAGACAGAGGTCTAGAAGCTTCCTTTTGACCTAGGAAGCTTCCTTTTGACCATTCCATTTTCTTAATGAGGGCTGAGATTCATACAGATTTGCTTGGCTGTAAAAACTGAGGCTTTAAAAGGAGAGAAATGAGGCATTGATGGATTTTTTATTTTTTATTTTTTTAATGAGAGAACTGACAGCATGATGTCCTGGGATGAAGGAGAAAGAAGAGGCAAGGATGTCCACTGAGAATAGCTCAATTGGTTAGAACATGGTGGTGCTACTAATAGAGTCAAGGAGGTGGGTTTGATCCCTGTATGGGCCACTTGCTTAAGAGCTGGACTCAGTGATCCTTCCAGCTCAGAATATTCTGTGAAATCAAGAAAAGAACTCCTTAAGTTTCAGCTATGACACCAGTCATTTTGCACCAAGGATTCTGGGCCAGGGGCTAACCTGGACCTCTCTTGGTTCTGCAGGCACCAGGCCAACCTGAGCCTTGATGCCGAATTTCTCCTGCGCGGTGTGTCGGAGCTGGATTTGGTGACGGGGGGCATGCCCTCCACCTTGCTGGTGCACGGAGCCCTCTCCTTCCCGCTGTGCCTGGACAGCTCCCAGCGCTGCCTCTTGGCTGCCGCACGCTACGGCCGTGGCCGTGTGGTGGTGGCAACCCACGAGAGCCAACTCTTCTCCCCAAAGCTGGCCAGGTTCCTGCTCAATGCTGTCTCCTGGCTGGATGCCGGGAGGAAGGGGCTGGTGGGGGTGGATCCCAGCCTGAAGAAGCTGTGTAGCCTCCTGTCTCAGGCAGAGGTGAAGTCGCAGCTGTCACAGCTGGCAGGTGACATCAGCGTGTACTGCTGCACCTCTTATGGTGACAAAGAAGCCGAGAGAATCCACACTTTCGTTGCAGAGGGAGGCGGCCTGCTGGTGGGGGGCCAGGCCTGGTACTGGGCTTCCCAGAACTGTGGAAAAGCTGCTGTGGCAGAATATCCTGGCAACAGGATCCTGAACCGCTTTGGGCTGAGCATCCTGGGGCAGAGCGGCCAGGCAGCCAAGTACCTGCCCGTGGGGCAGGGGGAGCACTACCACTTCCGCAGGGCGCTCCTGCTCTTCAGCACGCAGCTGCAGGGGCACCAGGAGCTCACAGAGCCCCTGAAGGGCTGGCTGCACCCTCTGGCGCAGGACTGCGCTGCCTTCCTGCACATCCCAGCCCACGACTGCCCGGCATACGCCTCGCTCCACCGCATCCTGACCAAAGTGCTCAAGAGGACTGGGATCCCACAGGTCAGCAGGCACTGCCCGGTCAAGAGCAACTCCAAAGAGGCAGTGCTTCTCTGCATGGCGACCGAGCTGTCCCTCACCATGACAGACAGTGCGGCCCTCGTGCAGAAATCTGCTGCTGGGGCCTGTGGCCTCCCTGTCACTGTGGAAATCGATGGCACAAACCCAGGTGAGCGGTTATCTTGCTTCCTCTCAAGCCATCCTGTTGCTGGGATCAGTGGGGTGCCCTGCCCTCAGTGTGCCTGTGTCTGTGTGCCTGAACATGGGCGCAGATGTGCAATTTCACCATGGGCTTGAGAGGAGACTGAGCTCACTGCAGTGGCAGACAGGCTCCTTTTGTAGCCAGCCCTGACCTCAGCACCTGAAACACCCCATGGAAATCCTGCTTCCTCCCTGTTGGTGCACAGGCACTGTCAGGAGAAGAACCCCCTACTTGTGGTACTACAGGACACTTGCTTGGCACAATGGTTTACGCAAGAAAGCTTTTTTGAGAAACCCTGGACTCTGCACTGCAGGTTGCTGTTCCCATAGTTGTTCTGATACAGCTGTCTATGGAGTCATCCTACAAAGAGGTGGGAGTTAGAAATGAAAGGTTTATTTGTTATCTAGGTAATGTCAGCCTGAGTTATAGCACAGTCCCACAGCTTGGTGTATCAGCACAATGGAGGGAAGATCTGGTTTTGAGGGTGAAAATGGGAAGCTGGAAGTACAGTGGGAACTTCTTGGGCTGACACCACCACTGAAGCCAAAGTATTGGGTAAATACACCATAAATTATTTGTCTAAGCTTAGGTCTTGTATCTGTACCAACTTGCTGAGAATCCTGCTCACAACTGATATTTTTAACTCTAAGTTAAATTCCGTTAGTAACTTTTATCCCCTGGACAGTTTTTTTGGTCTTAGAATATGATTTAGAGGAGTTGTTTCCAAATTGTTCTAATGAGATAAAGGAGGCTGTTCTGGAATGACAAGGTCTGAGTGCAGTGGCTGTGCAGAGAGAAAAGTTGTAGAATTACTTCTTACTGGTTTTAGCAGTAATGAGTCAGGACAAAAGCAGAAAATACTCAGAATTTGTGTCATTTCACATAAACAAAAAAGAAAGAAGAGCTAGCAAACCCTGAGCACCATTTCAAAACTGCCTTTGGTGCAAATTCAGCAAAACTGAGATGAAATGGTAACACTGTTATATACGCTTATTTGTGTTTTCCCCTGGATGAGGTTTTCCTTGACAAAACTGGTTCTGCTTTCTTGGATGACAGGAAAGGTTGTAAATTGGAACTTCTGGTGTTCGGATTGAAATATGCCTAAGTAAACTTTGTCAGAACTAGGGAGTGGAGTCTGCCTGATCAATAAAGTAGAGATGGATCAGTTTTGCACTGTAAATTCTGTAAGTTCCAAGTATTTAAAAAGATTTATGCTGAGGAGACTTGCATTTCCATGGGAAGACTGTTTAGAAACATGCTGAATTGTAGTGGTACGTACCCTTCTTACAGGTACACCTAGCACAGAATGGTTTCTTGAGGCTTTCTCATCATTTCAGTCAGCTAGAAATGACAGTTCCTGTGGGCTCTGGTTTTTTGCTGGACCAGACACTAAGGAAAAATGTGATGCTGCTGTCAGTCTGTTATTTGGGAAATATTTTATGACCATTACAGCTTCAGTTGTGTAATCCCACCATAGCTGGCACCTCTTACGAGGCCTTTAGGATAAGAAGATCTGAGTGTAGGAGGTGTTGGGGGTTTTGGCTTCTTTTTTTTTTTTTTCGTTCTCATTTTTAGGAGATACTACTAAGCACATTTAAGCTTGGTGTTTCCAGAAGTATGAATCTGGATGGGCTTGCTTACTAACGGTGTGATGATTTTGTTCATCCCTTTGAAACTGTATTTCTGACAAGGTGGGTAAATGTGAGATGGTTCTGTGAGTGTAGAGCAGGGGAAAAGGAAAGGATGGAAGATTTTTCTCCTACTGCAACTTGAAATCTTCAGGACCTGTAATGGTCTGGACAAAGAAGTGCTTGACTGTTCAGGACTGTGTTCTCTTACATTTTAGGAAAGACAGCCTGGAGAAGCACAGGGCTCTACCTCCCTGAAGGGCACACAGCAGTAATAATGTGCCCTTGTCTGGTGGTCGGTGCTGGTCTGAAGGTAAACTCTCTCTGCTTGGCTTACACCGGTGTATTTGTTGGGTGAGCACTCAAAAATAGCACAGGGAAGGGTTTTCTCTTTAATGGCTTGTTCTACCTTTCCTACTGCCCTTTCCTACTGCTGCCACCCTGTGGCACTTTAAATGCTTTGTCAACATTTCTTCACCTTGTGTCCTCACACTTTTCTTTTGCATTCCTCCCATTCTCTGTGCTGGTGGGATAATTGAGCATGGCTGATGCTTGAGGGCTGTTGGTTTTTGTTCTGCTGTGGTGCAAAAAAACCTGATCAAGGTGATTTTCAGGTCCAAGTACTTGGGCCCTTCTATGAACCAAACTTGATTCCATCTCTCCAGATCTCTCATAAATTCTTTTGGCAGTGCTGTCACTACTGCTCGTGTAGATGAGTCCAGATGAGATAGGCACTGTTACTTGGGATCCTGTTCTCTGCAAAATACAACAGAAGCAAATGCTTACCTGCTTGGATATTTTTTGCAGTGACCTCCCTGCAGTTGAAATGCAAAGTTAACCCAGGTGCTTCTGTCTGATCCTGCAGCCACGTGCTGTCTGTTTTATTTTAAGAACTCTAAGGAAGAGGCACAATAAAAGAAGCCAGTCATGACCATATCTCTCCAAATCATGTTAATCATGTTATAGGAGGTGACTCTGATGCTGGGGAAGGGTGGAGGAATGATCAGTGCAAGTGCAGTGCAGTGGAAGAAGTCACTACAGTACTCTGACATGCTGGTGAAGGATGCAGTTGAGCCAGGAATACTGGGAGTAGAGCTCCCAGGGACAGCATGAACTTTTTTTTTTTTTTTTTTCCCCCTCTATATTTACTGCCTCTGGTCACCACAGGCTGAAAACTGGAACTAGGCTGGAGTCAGATGGCTGCTTCTATGTACGTGCTCTACAGGGACAGTGCTGCAGTGGAGAGCTCAGTGGGTGCTGAGGTCAGTCTGCCAGGTCACACTGGCACGCCTTTGACCAGCTGTTCCTACATTTCTGCTTGCCAGGTGCAGGTTGGGTGTCACACAGATGACCTCTCTAAAGCCAAGGAGCTGAAACGGGCACCAGTGGTAATACGCACCTGTGATGTTGCCTGCCAGAAACAATCCATTTCCTGCCTCTGGGGTGGCCTCATTTACATCATAGTACCAGCAAAGAGTGTCCTGGGGAACGTGCCCATCACGGTGGAAGGGGCAGTCAGAGCTCCTTTCTTCAAGCTTGGTAGGTTTGTTCACCTTGGTGCTTTTTGCTTGAGGGCTGCTCACAGATGTCGATGTCCCAGTGACTGAAAGGAAAGATGGTCCTGTGCTTAGGAAGGTCTTAGAAATGCTTGGATTTAGGAATACCCAGATTTATATTCCTTACTATGTTGTCTTCTGGGATTCCCATTTTTCTACTAATTTTTAAGAAGAGTGGAAGGGAGGTCCCCAGGAATCATCACCAACCTGTCAGCCTCAGCTCTTTTCCTGGAAGATCATGGAACAAACCCTCCTAGATGCTGTGCTAAAGCATGTGGAGGACAGGGAGGTGATTTGGAACAGCCAGCATAGCTTCACCAAGGGCAAGCCCAAGAAAGATGGGGACAAACCCTTTAGCAGGACCTGTTGCAGTAGGACAAGGGGCAATGGTTTTAAACTAAAAGATGATTGATTCAGACTATGTATAAGGAAGAAGTTTTTTACAATGAAGATGGTGGAACACTGAAACAAGAGGTGATGGATGCTTCATTCCTGGAAACATTCAAGGTCAAATTGGGCAAGGCTCTGAGCAATCTGATCTAGTTGAAGATGTCCCCTCTGCTCATAGCAAGAGGGTTGAAACAGATGACCTTTAAGATCCCTTCCATCCAAACTATTGTACAATTCTGTTACTCTCTGCTTCTGGGTAAGTCACTTAGGCACTATGAGCCTGCTATGTGGCTGGGAGTAGGTGAAAGAGCTTTCACAAAATGGGCAGGGTTTGTTCACACCAACATTTCTTGGAGGCTGGAGTTGTTATTTCTGATGGAAACCGTTACGCTGAGGAGAGGGAGACTGATCTCTGCCACGGCAAAACATGCTTTGTGCTCTGCCTGCTTTACTGTGCCCTCATATGGCCATCTCTAGATCCTACAAGACATCTCTGGTGAATTTCCTGTGTTTCCAGCAGTCTCCTCTCCTCTCCTCCTCTCCTCCTCCCTCTCCTCCTCTCCTCCTCCCTCTCCTCCTCTCCTCCTCCCTCTCCTCCTCTC